CGTGGTGACAAACTCCTTCATCACCGAAGCCTCGTTGAGAAATTCAATCCTCTCGCGCATGCTCGCGGCCTCGTTCACGGTTTTAATGGCCACCCTGGTTTCGGGCTCGTCCTTGACCACGCCCTTGGCCACGCCCTCATACACCATCCCGAAGGAGCCCTGGCCCAGCTCCCGGCTCATGGTGATCTTGTCGCGGGCCACCTCCCACTCGTCGGGCACGTACACTGGAGGAGAAGACACCAGGGCTGAGACGCTGTGGCCGCGAGCGCCTGGGCACAGCGCGATTCCGGGGGGACCTCTGCGCGATTCCGGGGGGACCTCTGCGCGATTCCGGGGGGGACCTCTGCGCGATTCCGGGGGGACCTCTGCGCGATTCCGGGGGGGGGACCTCTGCGCGATTGCGGGGGGGACCTCTGCGCGATTCCGGGGGGACCTCTGCGCCAAAGAACGTGGATGCCGCTTCCTAAGCCCCGCCTCGGGGCGCGGCGCGGGACAATGACTTGGCTCGTTCTGAAATCTCTCACATGCTGTCAGGCAACTGTATGGCCACATAGTGGTTATTTCGAATCTTCCAGGATTCCTAGAAAATCGGAGGGTCCTGACAGCATAGAGTGACAACCAGGAAGCAGTTCAAATAGAAAATTCACACTGGATTTCACCACCTTCGTGCAACAAGAACACGGATGCTGCTTCCTAAGCCCCGCCTCGGGGCGCCGCGCGGCACAATGACTTGGCTCATTCTGAAATCTCTCACATGCTGTCAGGCAACTATATGGCCATATAGTGGTTATTTCAAATCTTCCAGGATTCCTAGAAAATCTGAGGGTCCTGACAGCATAGAGCGACAACCAGAAAGCAATTCAAATAGAAAATTCACACTGGATTTCACCACCTTCGTGCAAAGATAATGTAAATATTTCGATAACTTTTATACTGATTGCATAGTAAAATTGATAAGACTTTGGATCTATTGGGTTGAATAAAACATTAACATTTATTTCACCTGTTTCTTCTTACTTTTTTCCTGTGACTTCTAGAAAATTTAAGGTTACGCAAGAGACTAGCATTGTATTTCCATGCAGGGCTGTTCTAGTCTCGACAAAGTACCTCCGGCCTTGCCTGCCGAAG